AACGTCAACTTTCTCACTGTATAGCCACAACTTTTAAAATTCTGAAGACATCTGTATGAAAGGACTTGCAGTCCTCTGCATACACTGAGTACTGGTATTGTGTCTCACTTTCAGTGGCAAGGTTAAAGAATAATACAGCTCACTTGTCTGATGAGTGGTACAGAAGTCCCCTTGGTGGGAGCAAGGAACAGCAGGCAAAACCTGACTTAGCTTAGGTCCTTTAGTGGGACTGGGGAGGTAAAATAAATCTTGTGGGAGGAGGACTTAAAAATGCCAAGTGGAGCTTCTGCGTTTTGTTACAGGTTCTTATTTTACCACCTCCCTATGGTTGCACGGCAGGGACTCATTTGTAAAAGGGCAGGAAGGTCAGAAAAACTAGCTTTATTTGAGGGCTATGTCTGTCCTGGGTATGATGACTATTAAATGTCCAGTGGAACTAACTAACTTCCAATGGATCTCTGTTAGGATAGTCTGGGTATGGTTTGAGCCCAGCTGCTTAGTGGGAGTGAATAGAGAAGACAGACTCTGGTCACTATACAGTGATAATACTGAGACACAGTGGGCAGAAGCTACAGCATGAGAAATTCTGATTCCAGTGTTGTAATAGGCTGTTGAATCTGCATCTGGACAAGGTCCTGGGAAAATATAATTTTGTTGCACCTGCTTTTTGTAGGCAGTTGGGTGACCTCCAGAGCCCTTTCAACTTCAAAAAATCTGATTATTGAAAGCAAGTACAGGCAAGCTTTGAAAGCTACTGCTTATACTGTCTTATGTTTTAATTAATCTAGGATTTCTAAGGGCTTATCTTTGTTTTTCCTGTAACTGACAACAGTAATCTTGAATTCTGTGACATTACACTATTTAGCTATTAAACAGCTAATCCTCCAGTCATCACAACAGTATTTTTTAGCAGCTCTGTGGCACAGTTCATTCCATGTAAGAACAAAATTGCTAACTTACCCATTCTTTACCACATATGAGAAACTGTAGCTGACAAAATATAATTTCATTTGTATTGTCCTGCAGACTAAACTGGCTGTCTGCCTCTACATGAATAATCTATGTGTGTCCATGATTTATTTTTTTTCATTGCATCCCATGTGTGGAGGTGTTTTGTTGTCTGATGGTCTCTGCTGTATTTACAGGAATACACATTCTGAAATTAATCTAGATTTGCAATGAAGCAGGACTTCAACATTTGCTGGCTGGTTTAAATTAATAGGGAGAAAGAATTTGTGGGAATTTAGTTCTTGTCATGTTCAATAAGCTTAAAAATAAACCTTTCTGATAAGCCAGGTTTAAACTATTTTATAGCAATTGCTGTGTTTCTCACATCTGAACAAACTATTAGACACTTGAATGAACAATTTGGGTTTTTTAAATGACAGTAAGCTTTTACACATAGCTCCTTAATGTAAAGACAGTCAACTTTTGACACTGGATTCAAGTCTCAACTGAAACGGGGCAGTCTTTCCTAATTCTCATTTAGCTATAACCATTTAAAATTTTTTGCCCTTGAAGACTACTTAATCTTGAAAGCAGCATGCAATGAATGATCTCAATCATATTTATATCATCATCTGTACTTGGACTATTTAAATCTGTATTGGGTATGTTAGTAATACCAGATGGTTTTGAATAGCTTTTGCTGTAAAATGAAGATTAATGGCAGTAGACAGGCAGAAACCTCCTGGCATTATTTCAGCAGACCTATCTGTGCCATTTCTCCCATAACTCCATTTATGGGGGAAAATAGGGTTCCACCTACTCTTAGGCATGCATTCCCACTACAGCATGTCCTCAGGCTGCTTTGTATCTCTGGGTGCTCCAGCACGGACCAGGCCATGTCCTCCAGAAGACATGGGGAATAGATGTAGGCAGAAGCAATTGAAGAACCACACTGAAGCTTTAGACTCTGAGTTTCCCAGGTTACAGCAGAATTAGCTGCTGAGGGAGAAACAGTCAGTTCTGAGGCTGATGCTTCCGTACCACTCAGGGCCCTGTTACAGGGCTATGGAGCAGTAGTACTTGATGTGTCTCAAATTTATTAGATAAGAGTTAAACATAAAAGCACTGTGTGCTTTTGTTATTTTATATCTTTATTTTTGGCAAGTAGCCACATAGTTTCCCTGTCAGAACGAACAGGCTGTGCATGCATCTGGAATTTTGTCTAATTCAGTTTTTTAATGTATCCTTTAGTTTCAAGCTAATCTGTTTCCATAAAGTGACCAGACATTGCAGGCTTCTTTCTCTTTCACAGCAAATTGAGACATATGTCCTGTTTGCTGATTCAGTTTTATCTGTCTCAAGCTGCATAAGCATTTATTTAATGATGTGCTCTTCATTCCTGGAGTTGGGATGTGTAATCCAGCATTACTGAAGAAATCTGCACTGAGACTACTGCTTGTGAAGGTGCAAGTAGGCTGTCTGGTTGCTGTCAGTTTACTGGGGAGAAGGGAGTATGTTTTGGGTGAAACATTTAGAAAGCACACATTTCCTCTGCTAATGTGTTTCTGGAGAGGTATTTTTATCTTAAAAAAAAATAAAAAATCTTCAATGTTAGGAAGCTTGGAGATTATATATTTAAAAAAAAAAACATTTTCATTTTCTTCCCTGGTTTGGGAATTCTCAAAATATTAAGGCTACTTCGTTGTACTGTACAGTAGTGCTCCGAAAGTGATCCCAGGTTTCTAAACTTTCTAATTACAACAGTAATAGAGCTATCATTATTCCCTTTTCTCCTCCTTTTTTTTTTTTTTTTTTTTTTTTTTTTTTTTTGGAAAGGAGATCCTAAGTATAAAGAAGTAATGCCAGTTTGTAGCTGAAGTAGCAGCTAAAGAGAATGGGTTAATGTAGGCTTTGGTTTTATTTTGGTGGGAGGGTGGTGCTGGGTTTCTGTGGTGGTTTGGTTAAGTTTTGGGGGGTTTTGGGGGCAATATGTGTGTTAAGTTTAACAGCTTTTTAGGGAGGATGATTTTAAAAAACAACCAACCCCAAACACAAATCAACCTGTTCTGAAAAAGAACAACACAAAATTGTTTTGTGCTGCTTTAACTTCCTCTTTTTAGAGGACATCCTGGCCAACATTTTGTTCTGTTCACATGTGACTTGACAGGAGCACTTAGCTGTTTCCAGATGTACAGCATGAGTGTGTGAGGTACAGTGTGCATACAGTGGGGCTCTGGATACCAAATGAGAAGACCTCTGTGAACACCCATATTCAGTGAAGATTAACTTTTATTAATCCATTCATTTTGAATATCTAACGTAGACAGAAATAGTCAATGAAAAATAATTTTTGTAAAGCTATCTTTATTTTAGATGTGTAGTGGTCTGGCTTCAGATAAGTGCCTATAGCATGTAAACTTCTTGAGCCCTCAGGCTGATAAAGATGTCATCATAATCACAGCAGGAGTGTTTCTTCTTCCAGATAAGAAAGGAAGAAATAATTTCATGTCTCTCTGATCGCTTCTCTAGTTGCAAGCACTTGCTTAATTGCTGCCAAAGTATCCCCTCTCTCTAAATAGATCATAATCCCCAATAAAGTTTTGTAATTTCCCCAGGGATGTCTAATGACTGTGGAGCCAGTGATCCTTCAAATTACAAAATAACTGAAAACATGGTCTTTCCAGCATCTTATCATGTGTTCTGTGTTGAGCAGAAGGTTTGTGAATAATCTGTTCCTTCATTTTGGACAGAAACAAGTTGTGAGTTGAACTGTTTGTATCCATGTACATACAACAACACTATATGACTTCTCAGAGTAAATTGTAAACTACTTAATAATAAAACTGTGTCACCACATCTAATTAACACTGACATTGTTTTTTTGTTGCCAGAACTAAGATTAGTACTGGAACTTGTGAGCTCTAGCTCACTTTCCTTCCACGGTAAAAACTGAACCAGAGATGAGCTGTTTCATTTATGATCCCCATCCCTCCCATTGCATCTACACAGCTGGCTGGCAATGCTCCTCCCATTGCTGGAGCAGTGGGTGGGAGTGTGGGAATGGGTTCCTCTCCAGCCATGGGGCATGGGCCTGCACACCCAACCATGATCACAGATCCATGGTGCTTCATCTGTCTTATTTAAAAGCAATTTTCCCCAAAAGTTTTAAGAGCTGAAATGAGGCATTTTAAATTTACTGTGTTACATGAATGCAGAAGTTACAGTGTTTGGTGTCTATTTTTCAACTCTAACTCCCAGTGGCTGTTACTCAGTTAAATGTGCCTATGTGTTGATATATTGTCTGAATACCCAGCCTTTACTCTGCGTTGCTTTTTATACTCTCATTTTTCTCTGCATTATGAATTGGTTGTCTGCCCTTGTAAATGTTTTCACAGTGAAACTGTTTGCATATCATTTATGGTCATTGCTTTTGCTAACTGGGCTGTTTCTCCTGGGAAAGTAAACTGGTATTAGTCAAGTTGAAATGTACTTGTAAAGAGTATGTTCTGCTCTCAATCACTATCAAGAATAGTTTCAAATATATGCAGGAATATTAGACTAATTACTTGCATGTTTTCTTTATTCCTATGCCCAGGTTACTGCACATAAATGCAGGATCTGTTTATTTCTTGATCCACTGTATTTTGCCAAGTCAAAGGCTGCAAATCACTTTGTCCTGACAGCTGGATTAAATGTCCTTTGACATCAGGTCTTAACAGCCTCTCTCACTTGTTTCACAGCCACAGACCTAAGTCAGGGCTGCAAAGAACCTCATTCTCCTTTGTGTGAAGCTTGCAGTGTGATCTGGACTGTGAAGACAAGTCACCAGAAAAAATTCTTCGTTTAGGCTAAGGCTAAATTTAGGCCTGCTAGCTCAACCCTAGGTAGAATTGAAAGGTGAAGGGACCCTAAAGTACTGTCCTAATGTCAGCTTAGTCAAATCCTTAAGTTTCTGCTTTAGTTGTGGATTGTGGATTGCTAAGGCAGCAGTTAGATGATGCATGCAGCATATTTTTTTAAGCTGATTGTAGTTTTCTTCTTACTCCACACAGATGGGCTTGGGCCATGAGCAAGGACTTGGTGCCTGCTGCTTAAAGTGCAAGGATAAATGTGAAGGATTTGAGCTTCATTTCTGGAGGTAAGTAACACCAGATGTTTCAAAAGCTGTGACTCAGCACTGCAGATCTTGGCACGTGCACAGAAATGTAACTGCTTTTGTTCTCTTTTTCAATTAAGCTATTCAGATGTTTTATAGAAGTTGTGTCTAGGTTCAGGGCCAAGGCTTCTCAGCTGCATTGCAACAGAGTGTTTAAGTATGTAGTCACTTATAAACATACATTTCATCTGCACTGAAGTCAGTAGTAGCACTTCTACTGAAGCATTTGCATTAGCTTAATAAACAGTTGAAGTATGTTTGTAAAAACATCTCTATCCCTACAGTAAGAGAGATGACAGGGAAGAAGTGTGTTTATCTCAGTAATAAAATGCTTTCTCAGCTCCTGACACAATAAGTTTTGATCTGAGATTTCAGGATAAATTATCTTATCTATGTTGAAAAGGTGTTGAAACTTTGTATACATCTACAAATGACTTAGAGGGACAAGAGGTGTCATCATTCAAGTAAGTTAGACAGCACTTAGCCTCGGATGATCCATTCTTCCTACACCAGTAAGAGCAGCTGATAGTTGTGGTAAATAGGCTGTTCTATAGCCTGTACCAATACATCTGCAGAAATGTTGTATTCCCTTAAGTCTTGTCTTACTGAAAACTTAATGTATATCTTGTTAGCTCTGATTATAGCACACTGATTATGCTGGGTGTGCTTTAAGGTGTAGATCAGTGGCTCTGAGTTATTAGGAAAAAAAAAATCCCTGTTAAAGGGATTGTCCTGCCTGCACAGGACGTAAGAAATAGTTGTTAGTAGCACTAGCACATGCTAGCAACGAAAGGGGTTATATTTCACTGATGCTACTTAGCTACAGTCATAATTGTATCTGCAGTAGGATTTTATTTTATGATGGGTTTTTTTAAAGTAGTCTTTCCATCCCAGCCAGAGTGGCATCAGGCGCCGATAAGGCCTAAGAGATTTCACATCTTTTTCTAAGTACCTGAGTGCAGCTGAGACTCGACTTAGAAAATAATCAGAGATGTCAGTTGATGAGGGTACAGCTTCTTGTTTATGTATCTGTAATATATAACTATAGAAACAGCTTACTAATAAGGATATGGAGCAAGAAGTGGTAATACACTGGTAAACGAACATGATCATCTAAAGATAGTGTCACGATCCGTGACCTATTATATCTCCTTATTGGAGTGTATTAACTTATCAGGATTTGCTGAGAGATCCACACGTGGGTATCGCCTCACACAGAGGAGACAGGGGCTTATGCCCTGACTTTTTCGAGTGAATAACTTGCTCAGTGCTTACTAATATTTCCAATAACAGCAACCAATCCCCAATTAGAATTTACGAAATGCACGGTTTATTGTGGGGAAAACAAAGCAATTTGGGGCAGGAGGTTCAAAAGGAGTGATTAAAACACATTAAACATATATGGGTACACCTTAGTTATTTAAGTGAGGGAAGGAGAGGGGAGGGGTATGCCCGAATGCCTGGATTATACTTTCCCCTATAAGCTGGGGTAGCCGGAATTGTCTCACCACACGGTGGCGCAGGTAGGATGAGCTGGGTAGCAAAGAGGCTGCGGGCACTCCAAGCGCAGGTCGCCCCCCCCCCACAA